GGTCGGTGGTGGCGGGGTCCGGCGGGGTCGGGGTTGCGGGGGCGGGCACCGGTGATCGCGGGTGGTGGGGTCCGGTGGTCGGGGTTGTCCGTTCGGTGGTCGGGCAGCGGGGCGGCGGGGTTCCCTCCCAAACGCCGGGGGACGGGCCGCGGGGTCGGTCGGTGGCGGAGGGGACCCGGGGTCGGGGTTCGCTCAGTGGGGGTCGGTGGTCGAGGCACGGGGGTGCGGGGTTGCTGGCGGGGTAGGCACTGCGGGTGCGGGGTTCTGGTGGCGGGGTTGGAGTGGCGGGGTTGCGGGGGCGGGGTTCTTCCCCGGGTGGGGTCGCGGTGGCGGGAGAGCGGTGTGGGGGCGATGCGGGGGCGGGGTTGCGGGGCCGGTGGCGGGCCTGCGCGGTTAGGCGGCGGGGTGCCCGGAGCTGGGCGGTTGCAGGGGTCGTCCGGCGGTGGCGGGGTTGGATGGCCCCCGCGGCGGGGGTCCGGGGGCCGCAGCCTCACACCGGCTTTGCCCCCGGGGATCCCCGCTCGACAACCCTGATGGCAAGGGGGGGGGGCACGTGCGGTCAAGACCAACGACCTACGAGAAAGACATAACGGGTAGGGAGTTAGGCGGCAGAATAGGATCGGTTGCGGACCACGGCACAAGCGAGCCACCGCCTACACCCATCCACCATAGCCGGACACCCCAACCCTTCTTCAACCTCCATCTCCTACACCCGCCCACCATAGCGGGACACCCCAACCCTTTTTCAACCTCCATCACCCACACCCGCCCACCATAGCTGGACTCCTCAACCCTTCTTCAATCTCCATCACCTACACCCATCCTCCATAGCCGAACACCCCAACCCTTCTTCAACCTCCATCACCTACACCCATCCACCATAGCTGGACACCCCAACCCTTCTTCAACCTCCATCACCTACACCCATCCACCATAGCTGCACACCCCAACCCTTCTTCAACCTCCGTCACCTACACCCATCCACCATAGCCGAACACCCCAACCCTTCTTCAACCTCCATCACCGATACCCATCCACCATAGCCGGACACCCCAACCCTTCTTCAACCTCCATCA